CAGCCATATCCGAGGCTATCTTAGTCCCAAGGTCACCGGCCTTAGAGCAACGCAGCTACCCAGGACATGGAGCCACCACAGATGATGGGAAGAGCCCACAAGGCCTTTCACCTCGGCACAGACACATCCCCACCTCCCTCTGTGCTGGGCACCCACCAACCTCCCATGGGCAAGACACAGAGGGGATAAAGCAGGTTGTTTCTCACAGACAGCTTCATCACTGCCATCCGTGCAGTCACTCTCTCCATCACAGCGCCAGACATCAGGGATGCACTTGTGACCATCGGAGCAGCCCCACTGCCGGTCTCCACACAGCCCTTTCTCCCAGGGACAGCCCTGCAAAGGCAGAAGGTGAGCAGGACCACAAGCCCTCCCAGGAGCAAGGGGGGACAGGCTGTGTCCCCAGCACCCCACCAACCTGCTCGTCTGAGCCATCCCCGCAGTCAGGAGCACCGTCGCAGCGCCAGGCCTCCGGCACACACTCTCCACTGTGGGGACACGCCACCTCGCCCATGCGGCAGAGCAGTGGCCGGGGCATGGCACAGCCCTCCTCATCAGAGCCATCCTGGCAGTCGTGGTCACCATCGCAGCGCAGGGCCAGGGCCACACACTGCCCGTTCTGGCAGGGGAACTCGGCGGGGCCACACTCCTTTGGCACTACAGGCAGGGACAGGGCTGAGCAGTGGCACTGTCCCTATCCCCGGCCCCATCCCACCAGCACAGGGTACAGCCCCTCCAGCCACTCAGCAGGTTGCCCAGGGCAGTGCGTGCTCCTGGACCCAGGGAAAACCAAGTCCACCCACCTTTGAGGCAGGCACCCCCCAGAAGCCCCTGTCCCATGCAGCCCCAAGGTCTCACCACAGCCCTGCTCATCGGTGTGGTCCAGGCAGTCGGCATGGCCATCACACAGCCAGCTCTCTGGGATGCAGCGGGTGGCACCGTCACAGCGCAGGGCACACTCCTGTGTGGGGCTCCAGCAGCCAGTCTCATCTGAGGCATCGGGGCACTGGGGCACCCCATCGCAGCGCTCCCCAGCCCCAAGGCACACCGCTCCGCTTGCACAGTGGAAGGCCCCTGGGGAGACAAGGGACCTTACTAAGCCTGTAGTAGGCAGCCAGGGTGCCCAGACCCCCTGCTAGCCCCTCCAAGACCTAGAATGGCCCCACACTACAGCAACTGGTCTCTCCTAGTCAGTGCATCTCCAGCAGCCTAGGACCCAAGCAAGGCAACTGGGACAGTCTCAGGTCAGACACATCAAGGTCACTGTGAGCAGCAGAGTGTCCCCTTCTGACAGCACCTCCAGCCCAGTCCCAAGCTTGGAAGAAATCAGTATGCCACAACACAAGCATCAGAGCCCAGGACACACACAGGCTTTCACAGTGCCCCATCCCACCAACCCCACCAGGAAGCAGCCAGAAGCCCTGGCACAGGGGACTGAAGAACAGCTCCTACCTGGGGTGTCACAGAGCTGGGCACACCCGTCCTCATCAGAGCCATCTGCACAGTCTTTCTCCCCATCACACACATATTCCTGGGCCACGCACTCGGTGCCATCATGGCAGGGCACATGAGTGCGAGGACACAACAGATGGAGGACTGGGGTCAGGCGGTGTGCAGGGCTGGATGGGAGGGATGAAGTAGGTGGCACAACCCGTGCAGGACTGGTTAGGCGCTGGGTGGTAGTAGTCGGCTGTGTGGTGCTGGTCCTGGTTGGCAAGGACCGAGTGGTTGTGGTGGTGGTTGTGCTGCTGCTGCTTCTGGTGGTGGCTTGACGCACAGTGGTGCTCTTGGTTGGTATGGTCCGGACAGTGGTTGGTGCAGGGGTGGTTTTGGTTGACGTGGACTGGCTGGTGGTGGATGGTGTTGTGGTAGCCTTGCTGGTTGGTACAGGAGTAGTGGTGAGGGCAGTGGTGGTCTTGCTTGGGGTAGGTCTCATGGTGGAAGTGGTGGGCCGAGCAGCAGTGGTACTTGTAGTTGTTCTCATAGCGGTGGTCACAGGGGGAGGGAGTGGCAGGGCAGACTCCTTGCTCGGTAGCACTGGTAGAGGCATGGGAACATGAGCCTGGATTTGGGGCTGTCCCTCTCCACACTCCCGACCCCTCTGAGAGCACCCCACATGGCTGTCAGCAGCTAGGCACACTGCCCCAGCTCAGAGCAGCATGGGCCACCCAGCGCCATCATGTACAGCACCAGTGCC